CTTCCACCTCATCTGAGGGCAGGAGCTGTAGGTTACAGATGGGGGGAGGAAAAACACTCCTTGGGGAATACAACTGACACAACTGCCTGCTGGATCAGGCCATTTTAAAGAAGCAGGGCTTATCTGCATTCACCTGTGTAAGATGTGTTACACTGTATCCAAGGAATTTTATGCATTTGGGGTTTTGTTGTTGCTGCTGTTATTTTTACGACTTTTTGCTAAATCTTGTCAAGGCAATAGAGTTAGTGTCTCCTGCAAGCCAATTGTAAGGCTTTACTTATTTCTGGTGTGGAAGAAAGGAGACTTAACTTTTTTTTTTTCCCCTGCAAATTTTTGTGGAAGATTCACAGTACCATATCAGTAAATTCAGCTCTCCTGACCTCAAGTGCTTCAAAACCATAAGTCCATTTGTCTTGACTTCCAAAAACACTGAGGCAACAAGCCCAGAGAAGATATTATTGTGATTCTTCTAGGATTTTTTAATTTCAGTTAGTATTCTAGAAATACTATGTTACGTTAGAGTCATTAAATGTTGAGTTAAAAGAAAAAGCGGCAGAAATTCTCACAACTACATAAATTGAAAACCTAAATTTAAAGAATTTCCCCAAAGCCCTACACAAAGCAAACCAAATCCCACAGATACAATAGTTTTTCTGAAGATGGAATAACAACTGAAGTGAAATTATCAGGAATAATCAAAATAAAAAAGAAAATTTTTTTTCTGCTGTGATACATTATTCATGAGAGGAATCTACTATTGAGATAACAAACAGCTTCTGAAGGATTGAAGAAAATTCATAGAAGAAAGATTCAATCTATCACTGCTAAAATTAATATGCTAGATGCAATTTATCATTCTAGAACCTCTAAACATCAGCTGTTGTAAAGACATAGTCAAAAGAAGCAACTGATATCAGTACTTCTGAAGAAAACAAACAGTACTTCTTTTCTTCTGCTATTGACCATTGTCGAAGACTAAAAATGGGCAGTTTGTGGCTGCTTTTCATGTCTGTATGAACTAGCTAAAAATAAAAATCATCATATCTACTTGAAATAATTCTAATTATACCAATAATAAAATTCCTACATAGAAACAAAGAATTTCTTAAGTTATATATAAAAAAGCACAGCGCAGCTGAATTTCCTTTGTAGGACTATAGCTGCATGTGTACATGTAAAAATATTATTTGCTCTCCTGTGCAAAGGGAGCAAAATAATCTGAAATAATTGACCAAGCAACAATTCTTCAGGCTAGCTACTCCCTTTTTTTTCCCCCTTTGCTTCTATTAAAGCACAGGCATAAGTGTGTTTCTGACAAAACACGCTAAACACGGATCAACAAGTCCAGTGTACGTGTAATGGGGAAGCAAGGGAAGAAGCTCTATAAAGACCATTAGCAGAATGACTTGTCACAACTAAAACACACTTTGGATGCAGCCACTCAGCAGTCAGTGCAGCTGCCTGCAGTTCGACCCATCTAGATACAAGACTGCCCAAGCTCAGGAGATGTACGGCACCATCAGCATGGCTCCGCGCGCTGCTCAGCGCCGGTGAGGGTGTCAATAGGCCAAACACGGTGCTAGTGCACGCTGGCAGTGCTGACCTCACGAAAGCCTTGCAGCAGGGCAAGCCGGCTCCTCTGAGGAAATGAATGAACGGTGGTGTGCAACCACGTAGGCCAGCATGGCCCCCTTGGAGATGGGACATGAGTCTGTTTTCAAATAAATCTTCCAAGAGGAAATGGCCTCAAGTTGCACCACAGGAGGTTTAGGTTAGATACTAGGGTTGCTAAACTCAGGGAAGTGGTTGAGTCCCCATCCAAGGGGTTATTTAGAAGATGGGTAGACATGGTGCTTAGTAATGTGGTTCAGTGGTGGACCCGGCACTGCTGGGTGAATGGTTGGACTGGATGATCTTAAAGGTCTTTTCCAGCCTAAATGATTCTATGATTCTATGCCTGTCCTTGTCATCAGCCCACATTTAGGTGAGCAGCAACACCAACATGCTGTCAAGGCTGGCGATGGTTTTATGAGTGTATGAACAATTAGCAGGCCCAGCTTTAGCTGAGCACTGACCACATCTTCCAAATTAGCAGCAGAGAAGTTCAAGGCTTTTAAGGCTGTCCAGATCTGTTATCCTGCTTGTGCACATAAGCCTGCTCTGAGCAAGTTCCTTCGAGGCATGTGAATTTGTTACACGTGACTTGAGAGCTAAAGAACAGGTTTTATAGGAAGAATAAATGTACAAATAAACCTGTATCAGGACATCACTCTTGAAAAACAACAGCTGGACCATCACATTGGAAAGAGTAAAAAAGGGATACATTAGAGACATCATTTGATAAACAAACACCCAGAGGAAAGGCAGACAGAACGTATAAACTAACCAATAAAAGGTTGTTTTTTCACAGCAGTGTCAGGTATTTACAAGCAATGACAGCCTCTGTCCTAGCAACAAGATAAACACCAGGCTGCCAGGAGCCTTCAGACTGCTGGTACTCCGATATGGAAAAGCAGGTATAGGGGAAATGTATTTATTGAATCATGCTCTGTACTTATCTTACTGTCTTCACAGAAAAGCATCGTTTCAAGATTAATCTTCTTGAGAGATTAACAAAAAGGGTGGATGCTTTTACTTCTGTAGTTTGTAGCAAAAATAATTGAGGTACCCTGCAAACCTTATCTGATTGTATGTATGCACATTATAGGAAAAATAAAATTATAAAATTGCTGCATCCACTTACTCCTTATTTTTGTGTTTAAGCAATCTTCTTTGATATTTTTGTAATATATAGAATTACAGAAAAGTGTGTTTAACACAGTTGTTAGGACTATGTACATGAGAAACATACAAAGAAACTTTGAGTCAATTCACTAGTGCTAATAATCCATAAGAGCACCCACAAACTCATTTCAAGCAAAACTATACTTGCTGTTGAAGCTGTAGTTGCTTAAGTCTTTTGGGGAAACACACAAACAAACAAACCCAAAAGACCATCTCACAAAATTTTAAGTTCTTTTTCAAATTGGGTTAAAGGAATGCAGAGACAGAGGCTACAAGTGTAACACTGGCCAAATTTGAACTTTACATTTTAAACCAATGCCACGAAATTACGCTAACCCCTGGCAGAACTGACTCTGGAAGTGTTTATACGAACTGCTCTGTAACCACTAAGGAAAAGTAATTCATCATTATTCTTGACTGCTTTTCCAAATTTGGCCTAGCTGATAAGAAATGGGTACTGCCTTCTTATTCAGAAGCAGAGTGCTTTATTTGCAGAACCACCTCCCTATATTACTACAGCTTCTCTAACCCCATTAGTTGAGAAACTGAGGTGGGGGGAAGGGAGGGGGAGAGAAACATAGGTATAGACTAATTTAAAGATTCCTAGTTTAAAGCAATGGGGAAAAAAAAACAACAAACACAAAACCCACACAACAAAATTATTAGTTGATCTAACAGAAATGTCAATTAATATTATGCCAGAATACAACAAGTAGCAACAATTAATTTGATGCGAAAAAGCACATTTCACCATGGCACATAAATCCATAGACTGAATCTTGAGTGGAAAACAAGCCAAACAACCCAGAATAAACAAAGGGGTTACTTTTATACTCGAGGCTAGGAACCTATGATTATATTACAGCCAAAGGAACTCTTTGTGTTTCCATAATCAAATTTCTAAAACGAACACCTTGTTCAATCCTTCACAACCTGATTAGAGCCTGCATAATGGCCTCAAGCACATAAAACATGTGGCTGAAAATTTAGTGAACACTGTAAGGGAAGGAAGGCAGGAAAAAAGGGGGGAAAAGTAAAAAAAAAAACAACCTAAACTCTGTAATATCACATTTATCAGTACGGATCAAGTCGCAGGCATATCTAAACAGCAGTATTCACCTCCAAAACCAGTATTTAGCTAGAGATGGACCTAGTGCAGCAGCTAATGGATACAAGGGCTGTTCAGTTCCATCCTCTGTCTCAGTTAAAACAGCTGTTTCTGAGAAAGACATTTGCCAGCTTCTCATCTGACCTTTAAAGAGAAGCCCTCATAAAATTTCCTCAGGTCTTCAAAAATACAAACAGCTCCACTGGCTTTTAGGGCAACTAGTACTTCACAGAGAAGGGGCACTTCTGACAGCAGCAGACTTCCCTCCCTTTGTGCTCCTTTGCCCCAAGGTGACCTGCTCTTCTGCAGCCCCTGTCCCTTAACAGGCCACTCCAGGCCTTGGTGAGCTGCTACCAACAACATCTGCTGAGAACATTTCCTAAAACCAGCCTTATTCTGGGCTACACCAACTCACACAAGCCATTTAAAACTCTCTGTAAACGGCAGAGCAAATTACTCATAATCAATTAAAAATAATCAGCCTTTAAAAGCACAGGCTGAAAACCACTATAGCAAAATCATTTTAATGGTTTATTCTGAGAGTTTTAAATGATTTGGGGTTTTGTTGTTGGTAACAACACCGACAGGATCTTTGGGTTTGGGATGTTTGTTTTGTTCTTTTGAAGCTGGTAGGAGGACTTTTAAAAGCATTAACTATGTGATGCGCTAAGCCCTCTCCCCTCTTTCCAGACAGCCTTATCCCTAACTCCTTATTACTTTTTTAAAGTGGTAAACCAGACATTTTTGCAGGAATGATGGAGCCATCAGACACATCTACTGTGGAGAACAGTAACGGGGTAGAAATCAGAGTAAGTGAGAATAAAGACCAATAACGAGTAGATGAAGCTTCCCAAACAAGAAACTAATTGCCTTAAAAGAGGAATAGGACTTTCTGCCAGTACAAACTGCTCATCTCAAAGTAAAAAAAAACATATATAGGGGAGAAAAAAATTCTGCTTCTGCTGTTTTCTAAATATACCTAAACCTGGCATCCAGTAATTAGGATCATTTTTTATATAGTATCTGTTTAGGCTTAACAAAGCAAAAAGAATTGTTTATGTAATTTTCAAAAGGTAAGGAAAATTTAGTAAATACATCATGAACTCACTTTTGCTTTAGCACTCTGTGATCAATTAGTCCATCTTCATTTTCAGTTAAGCACAGATATTTTTTCTGCTCCACAGGACATGTAGAATTTAACATCTGTCTGTAAGTAGTCCTGAAAGAAAAAAAAATGTTCCAGCCATGTTTTGAGCAGCTTATAATTTTATGTGATGTTAGTCTCTTAATCAGTCTCTCAGTTCAGTTATCAAACTCTGACAAGTTAAAAGGAAAACTGTAAATAATACTGCCTGGTGATATTCTAATTACTACACAAAGTCCAAGAAAATAAATCTTCTGAGGGCTGCAGGGTAACCATCATCTTCATTGCCTGGCATCTCCTCACCTCTGGGAGTAACTGATCATTACAATATGCAAGGGTGAAAGAACAATTTACACAGTATTATAAGGTGGTTTCTATTCGACTACAAACCTGAACAGTTGCTTTTTCTGAAAGCTAAGCCTATCTTGAACCCTCACGTCAGGTTTGCATTACTCTAAGCACTCCAGAAGATCCCTGAGCATCACCTGGTCTCACATTCCACTGCTCCTGATTACTTGCTCCAGCTCCAGCCTGTCACTAGCACCAGAAATCCCAGGTACTCCTTTTGCTGATCCAAACCATGCTTTCCATTTAACCCTTGTGACCACTTCTCTCCCTCCTAATTTTCCTATTATTTCTTCTTTTCCTTTTGTTGACAGAAGCCAACATCAACAGTTTTACCCTGCACTGGGTAGAAGGCATTGCTAAGACAGGGGCCACTGTCACACTGCCAAGAATTCATGGCAGTAAACCTTTTTTTTATTTTCAGGGTGGGGGGAGGAGGGGAGACGGGCTAGCATCCTTTCTGCACCTCATCTCTTCAGAGCCTCTGAACTCCAAAAATGCTTTATAAACTGTTCCAGCCACATACATGAAAGACTTTTTTTGGAAGTGGCATTAACATTTGCCAAGTTTATAAGGGGAGTTTCCCCTTCTCATAAATCAATGCATCTTTATCAGCTACCCAGTTAAAGGTAGAAAAACACAGCATGTTCTCTACAGGGCTCCTAGAAACAATTGATCTTGAAATTGGAAAGCATCTTGATATTTACCTGGTAACCTCTGTGTGAGCTCCTCATACGCACATAAATGCAGATTCTACTGCATGACCCAGAACACTTCCACATTATCAGCAGCAAGAATATAATGCTATTTCTGTGTCCTAAACCAAAACGCTGGAAGAGTAAGTCACCTGTGGTGTCCTTTCATCAGTCCATTACTTTCACACAGAAATTGTTCATCTACCACACTCAAAACTCCACACTCAAAACTCCACACTCAAAACTCCAGGTTCAACCAACGTCTTTATCTTTTTATGAGGAGATGCTGAGGGAGCTGGGGCTGTTTAGCCTGGAGGAGAGGAGACTCAGGGGGAACCTGATCACTCTCTACAACTGCCTGAAGGGAGGTTGCAGTCAGGTGGATGTTGGGCTCTTCTCCCGGGCAACCAGTGACAGGATGAGAGGGCACGGCCTGAAACTGCATCAGAGGAGGTTTAGGTTGGATTTAAGGAAACTTTTCCTCATGGAGAGGGTGCTCAGGCACTGGGATGCACTGCCCAGGGAAGTGGTGGAGTCACCGTCCCTGAAGGTGTTTAAGGCCAGGCTGGATGTGGCACTTAGTGCCCTGGTCTGGCCGATGTGGTGGTGTTGGGTCATAGGCTGGACTTGATGATCTGAGAGGTCTTTTCCAGCCTCAATAATTCAAATACATGACTGAATGCATTTCTTAAACATGCTTGCATTTTATTCTGTGGTCCTCGAGTCTAACATACAAAATGTTTCAGAAACAGCAGCTTATTTACATAACTTCTCTGTAAATAAAGTAATAACAGCATCTTATTTTCAAAGCAGGAAGACCAGTTTTTTTTTAAGTCAAATTACAGTCACTTATATTTGAGATTTCCAGCATTTAATTTTTTCTGGAGTCTGCAGAACTTCACAGGAAAGCTGTGCCCTCCCACTACTGCAAGTGCATGCTCCTTGTGAAACAGTAGGGTCTGACTCATTGGGCTTAAGATGTACACAGGGAACAGGCACACCTGATATATGATCTAGCCATACATCACCGATAAAAATGAAATTTAAATGCCCAAAGCAGCCTTCAGACTGCTCTCTATATAAGAACAGGTTCTCTTCTTCTGAAATCCCCTCCTGAAATCACTATGTATCTACCACACTTTGGATGAAGAACAGGACTCACATACAGCAGCCTTCTTCACAGCAGACTCCTGCTCTACCTCCAGAGAGGGAGCTTCCTGTAAATCAGGTGAGGCAGGACCCTCACACAGAGAACTGAGACTGGCTGTGATTGCATACTTTAGGTCTATGACAAATCATACATGTGGTGGTATTGTCTTCTTCTTGCACTCACCCCCAATTCACACTTTCCTCCAATGCATGACCATTTACTCAAGTGGTTTTGTAAAAACTTCCACAAGGACAAGAGGATGTATCTACATGAGCAGTTTAATTCTGCTCCTGAGTGGAATTTGGTTGGAAATCACCCAGTCAATCACCTTTTACATGCTTTGATTTGCACTGTGGAGCCATCTCAGAGTGCACAGCCCAGAGTCCTTTAGGTTGAAGGCAAATGCTACCCACAGTGCTCTACAGATCGGCTCCTGCTGGGCTGCTACTACGTAACAAGGCAGGTTTAGCACTGGAGTCCTTTCTTTCAAAAAAGAGCATGTTGCCTCTGTGGCAAGCCTTTCTCTACTTCCAGGATTCTTGGGCTTAGAAGACACCACTCAGAGCTTAGAATGTCTTTCCTCAGCCAAGACACCCAGAAAAAAATAATCCTGCAAGATTTACAATATATCAGAATGGTGGGGAGAGATGGGGAGACCAAAGTAATGAGCCAAAAAACCTCACAACCTCACAAAAAAAAAAGACATCTCCCCTCAAAAAAACCCCAAACAAACAACACACAGCAAAACAACCCCCCCCAAAAAAAAACCCACAAAAAAAACCTTGACCCCTCCAAGAAATCACAAACAAACAAAACCCTGCTCAACCAAGAGCCAGAATATGCTCACAGACAATATTTGTGAAAGTTTTTTTCTAAAAGTCTACCCTCTTCCACACAGTGGGATTATTAAACACATCTAGATCAAATTCAGATTTTCCTTTAAGCAACTGAATTTAAACACACTTGTGACACAAACACTGTCTCTTTCTAAATCATGATTCCCACTCCAAGACTTGCAAATATTTAAAACTAAGTGCTTCAAAAGCCTAATACTGCAAATGCAGAAAATTTTGGCTACACTGAAAGCTTGATAATGCTTCATCCAAATAAAAACTAGATCATAAAACTGGAAATTAAGAGCAGTTTAAATTAACTAATGATGTTGTTCTGGAATGTTGATGCCCTGATTAAAAACACAAGGTAATAACCTTATTTTGCATTTCACATGTCATTAGAGTTATTCAAAGTATAAAAAACAGTTACAGCTTACAGCTAAAGAGCCCATAAATGCCAGTTTTAAAACGCCATGAAAAGAACACAGCTATATGCAGACTCGTATTTTCTGTGCCATGTACAAACTCACCCACTAGTTACTTCTGGAAATTTTGGAGAAGCTGTTTCACAACAGTGTACAAGGGTTTCTAGCCTGCTTTTTTGTTGCTGGTATTTTTTAATCAGGTCCATCAGCACTGCCTGGTGCCCAATCTTCTTCACCAGCTGCTGCACCATACGATCATTAAGAGCCAGAAGAGCAGCTCCACTTACTTCTTCTTCTGCAGATTTAAGAAGGGGATTAAAGAATTGCTGTAAAATACAGTAAAATTCTATATGCCTAAAAACATGATGATGGAGGACAGGTCAAAGGCAAGGACACTTTCTACTGCTGATGGTCTTCGTCAGCTGCTAAAAAGATGATGTTTTAGTTACTGTTCTTTCCCAAGCAGTGCCAGAAATCCCAGTCACTGGCCAGATACCTTCCCCTGATAAAAAGCCAAGCCTAAAACAGACAGAAGCAGTGAGCTGACTATTTTAATGCTTTAAATCAGGCCTTGTTGAGACCACAACAGACTTACTTCATTAATGAAGTCAAGAAAGCTTTCAAGAGAGCACACAACAAACAGCCTGTTCACGTAACAGTTTTTCATGCACGCTTTGTAGAGTGTTTATACACTCAGATACAAAACATTTACACACTACAGTTGCATTATTTAAAAAGATTTATACAATCTAAAACAGGCCCTGTCAAGCCTTTTAAACTGCCAGCTCTGATTTGAGGAGTATCTATTTATATATAGGCTTAATCTCATCCCCTAGCATTTCTCAGAGACTTCATAATGAATCTGCACACTTATTTCAGTTTATCAGATATATGTCAGTCTCACCTTAATATATTCCTATAAAACTCTGCAGTTAGTATATAAATACATGCCCCAAAACAAGGTAGGCAGTGCCAGTTCACAGCATAGAAAGATATACTAAACAAAAGCTCCACAAACAACAAAAATACTTACCACGAAACTTAGGAACTAGTTCCCCTAAATTTCTTTGTCTCAACCAGTTGCAGACTTGATCAACAGACCACTTTTCCATCTTCAGGTGTTGCAATGCTAAATTTCACTTTGAAACAAAAAGAGAGGATTATTTTTAATACTGAACTCTGAACTGAAGTCCAACATTTCACAGAAAGAAAAATGCACTGAGCAAATAACGTTACATTTAGGCACGCCGAATAGGAACAGAGCAAAACTAATGCCTGTTGGAAGTAGCAGTTTCCTTGGATCTCTTCCTTCACCTCCTCTCCCTTTCCTGCTTTCCCTCTGCTCAAAGAGACAGCCTCATTCCTTATAAAACGACCTGCTCCAGCACCATTAACACCCAGGTTTCCACACAGAGAAGAAAAAAGGTGTGAAATCCACCACCACCTCCCTTATCGGGAAATGGCTGACATTTTACAGAAAGAAAAAACAAACAACAAAAACGAAAACACCCCACCATCTGATAAGAGTCTGTCACTTATATGTTTATAGTAAATCAAGCACCTTAACCCTCTCTGTGCCACCAAGCAGGTACCAGAGCAAATACTTAACCCTCAATTACCAACCATTAGGAGAAATAAAGCTCCTGGGAAATGGAGGTGAGAGGATGACTCCCACTTCTACTTGCTAGCCCCATCTTTCAGGCTCTCTGGATTTTTCCTGGGAAGGGGGAGCTGGTCCCCTGGAACCACCCCAGCCACTGGAGCCAGGGCGCAAACACCAAACCCCGCAGCCCCCCAGGTGAATCAGTGCAGCACGTACGGGGTGCCCCCTCCCTGAAGGAGCAGCTTGTACCAAAATCAACAGCAACTTCCTCAAGAGAAGATTACTTCTAACGACAAAGCTTGTCCTACTCTGCAACCCTTTGACTGCAAAATAACTCTCAGGGGGTGATTTTTTTTATTGATGTGGTTTAGCACTACTACACAGAAGATCATCAAGAGCTCCATGAGTATGCTTACAATCCACAGCAAGCAACATTAGAGGAAATTATTCAGGCAAGTTTTTCAGATAAGTACACGAGTGTCTGGCATCGTTGGCCAAACATTTCCTTTTTTAAAATACGTCCACGCACATACCCTGAGCCTGCAATGAACTCCAGGCTAACATGAGGATTCACCCACGCAAGTTTCATCAGGATCTGGTCCACCACACTACAAAAAAATGTGTATCATCCTTGAAAATAAAATAAAAAAACATTTTCATCCTTCAACAGCAGAGACCCAGAACAGATGCATTTCACCCTATGTGCCTCTGTCAGTAGACTTCAGCAACTTAAAAGGGTTAAGTTTAAGAGGAATGTCTTTCTGACTTACATGAGTGGTTTTAATTTGATATGACAACAGTAGCCATACAAATCCTCCCCCAAGCTAAGCAGCAATAACAGGGTGTGAAAAGTCATTATTTGTTGACAGCTCTGTTGTAAATTAAAAATCACACCTTCCTGTCACACTTCTTACTTCCTTGCAAAGAGTAGGGCAAAAAAAAAAATCCACAAAAACTTGAAACATACAATATAATGCAAAGCAGAAAGATATCTACCTTATCAACCACGCAATGTAAACGTAGAAAGATACATTAAAATGGTGGGAATGTCACCGCTTCATCCTGTAAGAAGGCTGGAATCCTAGAATAGTCCTGCTAAAGTAGACAGCCAGATACCAACATTTCAAAACAGTGACAAGAGAACTACGGCCAGGCACAATAATATGCACATTTAGCCCTACAGGAAAATGTTCATTTGCATATGGAAGTGCAGGCCATACACTTTAGGGGGAGAAGGAAGTGATGACAATTTAGAGGCCATTTTACTAAAATCATATTACATGTATTAAGGGTCACTACACATAAATACTGTGAAATGCTTCTCACAAGTGATTTCACTTGTATATATTGCAGATAAAGGAGCTAGGAAAAGTCTTGCAACAGCATTATGGAGGCAATAAGACAGAGAGCACAGATGCTGATATTTGTCCTCACTAATGATTCTATTTGTTACGGTAGTGTCAAAAGACTACCCAGTGAAGGGCTCCCTGTGTTCAGTGTGGTAAAACATGTGAACATTTATATTTTTCCATCAACTCCTAAAAGTCAGAACAACAAAAAACCTGACAAACTTTTAAAGACAGTATTTTAGAAATTTTCATCCTAACTTCATAAGTCAAAATTAGAATAGTTTTAAGTGTAAATGATCCCTGTCTGATGATAAGTACAGCCAATCACTGGGACCCATTTCTTCAAACAGCTGGGGTGAACATCTGTCATTAGGACTCAACCAGCCCTGGTTAATGAATTAAGTAGTGAAATTAACCAAAATTAATTTTCCCTAGGATGAATCAGACAACACTTTCTTTACTGTGAAATCCCTCAAGACCAAGGGATTAAAATCTTGGGTTTTAAGCAGATCAGGCTAAAGACTTGTCTATGGTATGTTCTGCTGATGTAGTTGGTTACACGTTAACAAGAGATAAGGTTCCTGACCAGTAAACTTGTGCTGGCAGATCCATGCTCTGCGTGCACTAATTTGGCACACAGCTTGTTTCATGAGAGGATACAATGAGCTACCATCAATGGGGAATGACACACCGAAATGAATAAACCTGCATGTCAAAACATCTTAGACAGGAAAAATAAGTTATTATATCTGCTTTACATGTTGCCTTGCGAGAGAGTCCATGGCATCACGAACTACAGCAACAGCATTTGACAGGCCTCTACGTGGATGTCACTGAGGTAGGAATTGAAGTTAATTTTAGTACAAGAGTGAGGAATGTGATGCATGCACATCTATACATCACAGCTACGTGGTACATTTTGAACAGGGCTAGGTCTCAAAGTTTCGAGCAGGATGAGTAGGAATTGGTGCATACCAAAGATATAAGTAAAGTATCCTGTGCACATTCTTGGATGCTCTCCTGATTTGGTTTTATTTTGTGTGCATTACAGAGGACTCATTATTTTCTTTCTACTTACTTATTCTACCAACTTATTCTTAAAATAATTAAAAATATATTCAAACAACTCTATAGAAGGCAGAATGTGTCATCTTGGATCCAGTGCTAAGTTATCATGAAAAGAAGATCAGGTATCCACAAATTTTTCAGTTACACATAGGGAAACACTCCAAGAAAGCAATTCTGTCACCCTCCTCATCCACTGGAGAAAATGCCAGCAACTTATTGCTGACATTTATTAGGCACACACTAGCATGAGACATTGCAGTGAATGCTCACAGAAATGGCTGAGAGAAGCAATATGAAGGGAGGGAAAGAAAACGAGAATATCAACATAGTAGTAATTCTTGAAGTGGGCATTTCAGTTCTCATTTCTATGTTATTGTAGAGCAAGACACACGCAGCTACAAGATTGGGAGACATACAAAGGTACAACAGATGTAAGGAAAAATCCATATCACCTAAGATTAGATGTAGCAAGAAAACATGCACAACTGTTACACAGCTGCAGATAAAATGGAAAGAGCCAGACAGACCTTCTAAACTTTCATCAGAGTTAAAAGGAGTTTCAAGGGTTCTGAACAAGCCTGTCTATTGAGCTTATCAAACATATTCCTCTGCTGCAGGAATTACCTCTGAAGAATATTATAAAATATTAACTGTCTCCTTAACACACGTACTTCTGATTAAATTTGCTGTTTCTAGTGTCCAAGATTTTACTATATGAACTTTAAAAACATTTTTATCAGTACTATGTGCAGTGCTACTGGGAAAATGAGCTGTCCTGCTTCAACAACAAGATTCAACCCAGGTATGAGGTACTCCTCTCTGTTACAATTGTTCAAATTATTTGGCAATCTGAAAGGAATAAAAAAGAAAATTGACTGTGTTTTAAGGTGATTTAATAGTCGTGCAAGTGATACCATCACTGGCAACAGTGCACAAATAGTGAAATAACACATTTAGCTGTTGAAGAAAATGCTTTTATTTTTTATAAGAACAAAATTTCTGGAAATTAAGCCCCCATAAAATCAAACTCTTTTATATTAATCTATAGTTACTGGATATTGATCTATATTAATCTATAGTTACTGGATATTGAGAACAGGAAAAAAAATAAAATAAAGGTTAAAAATTCATGAATCACAAAAATGAAATCTCATACGCCACAAGGAAAGAAATCAGACTGAAAATCTTCAGTATAACACAGGGACTGCTTCACAATACTAAAGAAAAAAGTAATTTTTTCTTGTAAGTGATATCACACTGACTTTTATTTCCTTCCAGAAGCACAGATTTCTCATCCGATTTCTCTTCAGTAGTGTTGGTCATATCACTATTTCCTGGCTTAGCAAAGGACTCCAGCTGCTGTCACTGAGCAGTGCAGAGAGCTCTGACACTGAAACTCTGCAGTGTGATTGCAGCAGTGATAATCCATCCCTATTTTTGCAGCCATTGTGCAATGAGCAGAGTGGGCTAAGCTGAAAATACAACTTTTTTTTTTTTTTTGTATGGTGGGTTTTGGATGCATCAGTGCCTTTAGCCAACTCCCTGGCTGATTGGGTGAAAATAGATAATACAACCTTGTGTCTAGGTTCTTCAAAGCACAGAGTGATCACTGTAAGACTGAATTTTTCTCCTACTGGAGTATTGTTTTGTAGTTAGGCCAGAAACCTAAACTGTGAGTAGTAACTATTCCACCTCCAAAACAAGTTGGAAAATGAATCCTTAAATAAAAAATAGTCTCCCTCAAATAAGTTTTTTCCACTTATACTGTCTCTGTTTCTTGCAAGGTTACTCTTGCTCCCATTTGAACCACATTCAAGCTTTTCTGGTGAGTAACACTAAGATGTGGAATAATCATGATAATGAGGTTAAGCCATTAATTACTGAGAAGGATGGGTGCTAAGTTCTATTATTTGCTTGGTCCAGTCTCAATTTAGGATCATAAAGAAGTTCAACCAGCAGCCAGTCAAGGTGACCTTACAAAAAATGGTGAAGGTTGACTGAAAACAACAGCTTACCAAGTCTATTCTGATGAAAAAGGCTTGGTGGCAATTTGTAAGTGGTTCAGTTGGCACATCCTCAAAGGTGCTAATGT